CACGATGTCTCTGTAGCTGTCGTAATTCGCCGCAATCACATGCGGCTAAATCTCCTTTTTTAATCCTTCTATGTACACCTGGATTTTTTCGCCTTCGGTCAGGTCGGTGATGCGGTTGAACAGTGACTCCATCTGCTGCGTGTACTGTGCTACACTGCTGTATTGCTTGTGTCGGTGTATCTGCTGCCACGCCATGTAGGTCGTATTATTCAGTTCGAAACGTTCGATTAAATCTGCCCGAAACTGCTGCCACGATTTCTCCCCGCGGGCTACGTCGGTGTAGTAAATCCATTCGAGTGCTGGTCCACGTAATAGTGTCGCTGCGAGCCGAATCCGTGCTGCGTCGTGTTGCGGGGTCGAACAACCAATGGCCTCGAAGTAAATTTCGAGGGTTGCCACGAATCGCCGGACGTCGGATCCCTTCGCGCTTGGATCGAACGCCTCAGGGAGCCTCGATCGTGCTGCTTCGAGGTTCGGCGACAGTGGTGCCATCGCTTCGTGAAATGTCGGTGTCGCCACTGTTGCGGGTGTTGTCACTGCTGCTGCGGTGGCGATCCTTGGTTGGTGTGTCAGAAGGGCCTCGAGCCGACGAAGCGTCGCCTGCGTCTGCTCCATATCGGTGCGGAGGCTCGCGATGTCGCTCGTGGTCGCGTAGTTCTCGCCTTGGCCCTCCATGCCTGACATTAGCGTGTCCGAAAAACCGAATCGAGGGGGAGCGAAAAACACGGAACCGGTTTTACGTACCCGAAATCGATGTTTCACTGCGTCGCCCCCACGGTTTTTGAAGACTGGTTTGTAGCGGTCGAAAAACTTCGCGTGAAAACGGGCTCTGATTACCAAGTGTGAGGATCTACAGTAGGATCGAGCTCCGAAAAGAGAGTTTGAATTGAATGATCACCTGGGTACAACACGAGGCTATATATAGGCTCGACACAAGGCCCCGTAACCAGGTGTTACGCGAAGGTTCCGCGGGTCGCGAAGCGTCCCGAACAGATCCTTCCCGAATTCAGTAGAAGGCAATGTGAAGAATGAGGAGGGAGTTCACTAGTAAGCAGTTGAGTACGTATAGCAAACCCTAAATTGGGTTGCACTCACTATTGAGTATCCTACTGCAGGCTAGACAAACATAACATTCTGACACACCCCCATAGCCAAAGTGGGGTGTAATCAGCACAACAAGCTCAGGGTGGATCACAATGTCACCACACAATCTCAGCACAAGTACAAGAAGCAACAGTTTAAAGTTCACAATCGTAAGCAAAGCTAGAGGCTATCACCGAGGGCAAGCGTTGAGGAGGAGGGACTATGAGAGGAGAGGAGGTAGTGGGCGGCAGCTGAAGCTGCTGGCACACGGCGCAACTGGAGCAACTGGCAGACGGACAACGGGAGCAACTGGCACACTGGCAACTGGAGCAACTGGCACACGGGCTACTGGAGTAACTGGCTCCGCGGCTAACTCTGAGCGGCAGGAGCAACGGACTCACGCGCGACTGGCGCAACGGTCTCACAAAGAATGGAGCTGCGGGCTTCACGGCGGCCACCCCCTTTCAACCTCCCCAAACTATCCCACCCCCCTTTCACACACCCCCTGCTGCACCCTAGGTTCACTCTCACCCCACCCCCTAGCACCACTCTGCCGACTCCCACACACCCACCCCCCTCAGCGGCAGCTGCAGCAGTGGGAGACAGAGGAGGAGCAGGGGAGACCACACACCCGCCACCCCCTACTCGCCACCCCCAAACCCTAACACAGGGCAGGGCGGGATGGCGGGTAGGGAGGTTACGGGGCGGGGGGGGGGGGGGGGGGGGGGGAAGGGGGGGGCCGACGCGCGGCCTCCCAGGGCGCCAAAGCAGGCGGCAGAGGGGCCGACGCTCGCCCCCCCCCCCGGTCGGCCCCCTCAGGTTGCCTCGACACGCGACGGGAAAAGAGGGGGAGGGGCGGTGCACAGGTCCCTAGTGCGCCGCGCCGGGCGACGGAGCATGGCCGGGGCGGGGCCGGGGCAAGGCCGGGGCAGGGCCGCGACACGGTTGGGGCAGGGCCGCAACACGGCGGCGACAGGGTCGATAGGGGCGGCGACGGGGCCGGTAGAGGCGGCGACGGGGCCGCTAGAGGTGGCGACGGGGCCGCGAAGAGCGGCGACGGGGCCGCTAGGGGCGGCGACGTGGCCGCGAAGGGCGGCGACGTGGCCGCGAAGGGCAGCAACGAGGCCTCTAGGGGCGGCGACGGGACCGCTAGGGGCGGCGACGGGACCGCTAGGGGTGGCGACGGGGCCGCGTAGGGTGAGAGGCGGTGACGGGGCTGCTAGGGGCGGCGACGGGGGCGCTAAGGGCTGCGTCGGGGCCGCTAAGGGCGGCGACGGGGCCGCTAAGGGCGGCAACGGGGCCGCTAAGGGCGGCGACGGGGCCGCTAAGGGCGGCGACGGGGCCGCTACGGGCGGCGACGGGGCCGCTAAGGGCGGCGACGGGGCCGCGTAGGGGCGGTAACGGGGCCGCTAGGGGCGGCGACGAGGCCGCTAGGGGCCACTAGGGGCCTGGAAAGGGCGGCAAAAAGGCGCGCCTCGGGCAGGAGCGACTGGCGCTCCGGTCAGAAAGGAAATTTTCAGTGGTGGGCCCAAGGAAGCGTTCCCACTAAAGAACCTGCTCTATACCATGTGAAGAATGAGGAGGGAGTTCACTAGCAAGCAGTTGAGTACATATAGCAAACCCTAAATTGGGTTGTACTCACTATTGAGTACCCCACTGCAGGCTAGACAAACATAACATTCTGACAGGCAATTCGGTGGCAACGGAAAAGCCAGAATTCAGTGCACGCAACCTAGCTCGGTGCTATAACTAAAATAAAATATAGGAAAGCACCTAGCCTAGGAAATCAAACAATTCATGCATGCATATAATTATCCTATGCTAGAAATAGCATAATCAAGTAAGGCAAGCAAGCATAGCTGGCATAAGGCGTCGTACTCTCACATCGACCAGGGAGCTCAACAGCTGCAAATGACTAGTCTGGGCGATGGGTGGGCCGTCGACCAGGATGGGCAGTTCGACCGGGAGGTCGACGGAGCAGTCCGTCGGCCTGCAGTTCGACTGGGAGGTCAACGGAGCAGTCCGTCGACCTGCAGTTCGATCAGGAGGTCGACGGAGCAGTCCGTCGACCTGACAAGTAAGTAGCGGTCGACGAGGGAAGCTCGGCGACGGAAGGGGTCCGTCGACCAGGAGGTAGCTCGACGGGAGCTGTGGTCCACCAGGGGCACTTGGTGGTCGACCAGAGGGATCTGGTGGTCGACCAGAAGGACCCGGTGGTCGACCAAAGGCACTTGGTGGTCGACCAGAGCAACTGGTGGTGTCCAGGTTGACCAGGTAACTTGTTCGACGAGTTCCGCGGAGGCACGCGAACGTCGTCGAGGTCGCGGTGGTGAAGGCGACTTCGGGTTGGTATCCCGAAGTCGATGTGGCTCGTCAGTCGCAGACAACAGGCGACGGATGCAAAACAATGCAAGTCGAATGAATCGTCTGCACGCACATGCGAGCGTGCGCACTGCTGTCTTTTACGGGGCAATGCTGGACTGCCACTTTGCTGTAGCGTTGGCATGCTGTCGACCTGCAGTGTTGGCATGTCGCTCTTCTGCAGTGCTGGCACGACTCCTCTACGCAACGCTGGCAGGCGGTCGACCAAGCTGAGCTGGCGGTCGACCAGGCTAGCTGCCGAGTTGCTAGGTGCCTGATGTAGTCATTGCTTGTTCAATCATTCTGTAATTTCGACTGTGCCTAGTGGAAAGTCTTGCCAATTTCTCCCGTGAATGTGCAAGCACTAAGGAACTAAGCAAAGCTACGCTCAGCCATGGCATTCTGCTGCGGAGTGTAGGGGCACATCATGTCGTGGACAATGCCCTTCCCGTTGACGAAGTCGGTGAACGCCTTCCTGAGGAACTCCCCTCCTCAGTTTGAGCGAAGCATCAGCACCGTTTTCTTTGTCTGCTGCTCTACCAGCACCAGCCACTGTTGGGACTCCCGCAGCACATCGCTCTTCTTAGCGACCGGCATTGCCCACAGAGTGTGGCAATCCTTCAGCAGTAGGAAGTAGAATTTTTTCAGCAATAGGAAGTACAATAAATAACTGTCCAAGACTTGACGTGTCCCTACACTCCGCAGCGATTTCCACTCTTGCGGGACAGCCTCCCAAGCCCGGAGGGCTAAATTTGCCTCGGCTTTCCCCTTCAGCTCCCTTACGAGGGTTTCAGAATTCTTGACCCTCCAGCCTCCCGCATCGTCCGTTGCCAGTAAGTCACTTAGGCGGACGTCCCATAGCTTCGTCGCGGCTTTCTGTCCTCCCACCGGTGTCTTGCCGTTCAGCAAGATGCGGCGGTTGAAGAATATTCGCTCCCTTGCAGCCTCTTCTCTCGTTGGTTCCCGGGACGTGTCCGCCAGTGGCGATCGCATGAAATTTCCACATGCCAACTTCCACCTCTTGCTTTTCCCATTTGTTCAGATATTAGGAACAGTTGAGAAATAGGGTGTACATTGTGGAGGGGCTGGGGTTGAGAATGGTGCAGTACAGGGCAACCCGATATTGCTTATCGAGGGTCAATCACCAGCTCTAACACCTTTTCTTTTACACAAGAGCCTTTCCAACAAAATTTTGCGCAGGCAAATCGTCACTTCCAGATAGGATTATCTTGACTGGACTGGAGTGGAAGGTTTAGATGGTGGTCCCGTGTTAGTAGGAGCAGCAGGGTAAAAATCAGGGATGCGCTGAACTGTGTTCCTAATCAGTACCGCCATTCACAACGCCAGCAATGGGCGTCTCTATCGCGACAGCCGCGGCGTCGTTTATCTGTCTCTCGCTCAACCTGACGCTCTGTCATTTGTACCGAGCGTCCCCTTCGGCCGCCGACACCGTCGCAGGCTCCGCGCCTGTCGCACGCACAGTCGTCGCGTCGTCCTCTCCGGCAGAATGCGGCGAGCGGGTATCTATTCGCGCGACGAGCGCACTCGCTGCGACAATGCGCGACTTTCAGAGTGTCGCTGGCCAGTTGAGGTGGGTAGGTGTCACAGGTTATCCCCTTCATCAGCGGCTCCGTTAAGCTCGGTCTCTTATCTCGTCGCGTGCGCTCACGACTGCTGGTGGGGGAGGCGTAATAGGCCAACACGTTAAAGAAGTCTCGAGTACCTTTGAAACGGGTCAAGAAAGTCAACTGAGTCAATTTCGAAAGCTAGGTTCAGCAAACCGGGCTGGAACGTCGTACCTGGACCGATAAATCGTATCTGGACTCAATCGCTTCGCACTAGTGAAGTCGGTACGCTGAATGTGGACATGCCGCGTGGTTAGTCAACGAGGATGCATCGTGTCTCGCTGTCGTCACATAGTTCTGCCGTTCCGCCTTAGGTGAAAAGGTAGAGAGGAAGGACAGACCCCCTGATGTTGCCCTCACACCCCGGCTGTAGGTTGTAACCCTCCATTCCAGTTCTGCCGACCCATCTTACGTCATCATGACCTCCTCTCCCTCCCCCATACCCACTTCCCCGCTTACCGTAATCCTTATCCGCCAGCTGGCTGCCTGTGATTGGTCGTGCGCCGTTGTCTTTGTCCGAGCCATGGAGTGAGGGGATGCTGCAGGGCAGCCCATGGCGTGCCACGTGTCCCTCGCCCTTCCTCAAATCGGGTGAGCAGAGAGGGGATGTTTGGGGAACGGACGGGTAAGGAGAGAAAGGAGGGAGTGTGTCTACAGGGAAAATGAGTGGGTGGGAGAGTGTGTTTGTGGGGATGCTAAAAATTATACAGGGAGGGTCCGAGCAGAGAGCAATGCAGGGCGAGAAAGAACGCTATGGGATGGGCATGGGATGCTCCACACAGCCTTCTTTCTCGCCTCCATGAACCAAGGGCACACTGCCTTCTTGCCTGCAGCATGAAAAAAAAAAAGGAACTTCTATCTTTCCTCTTAATCTCTTTTCTGATCTTCTCTTCTTGAACAAAATCCATCTCCCTGTCATCCGTCCAACCTATCTCCCTCTTCCCCTCACCATCCACTTCTCCCCAGCCCAGTGACGTCTTTCTCCTTGCCTTACCACCTCACCTGCTTTTTGAGTCAACTTAGAACTTTCTCTAAACTCTCTTCCTCCCCACGTCTCCCTCTTCCTCCCCCCGTCCCCCTCGCCCTCCCCCCTTCTCCCTCTTCTCCACCATCCACGTCTCCCCCAGACGTTTCTCTGTTCGCGCTACCACCTGCCTCGTCCTTCCTCCACTCTCCCGCTTCTGATTCCTCCTCCCCTCTCCAAAGCGCCCCCACCCCTGGCGATGAGGCCTATAACGAGGATGGCGAGGGTGATAATAACGAGGGCTTCCCCTCCCCAGCTGCTCTTGCTGCTGCCGCTGCTGCTGCTGGCAACGAAGCTGCTCTGTGTGTTGAGTTCAGCCGGGAACGAAGCAGGCGTGCTGATAGAGCTGCCCGAAGGGCTAGCAGACAAACGATGCCATTCAGTGGGGAGGGAGTGGTTGGCAGAGGCAGGGGTAGTAGTGGGAGGGAGGGAAGGGGGAAGGAGAGTAGAAGAGGGGCTGAGGAGGAAGAGAGTAGTGTGGGTGAAAGGAGTGGGCGATCTAGGAGGGAGAGAAGAAGCCAGAGGAGGGAAGAACAGGAGAGGGAAAGGGAGAGGAGGAAGCAGGAAGAGGAGGCATCTGCAGGGCGGCAGGGGAGGCAGAGACGACAGGGGCGGCAGGGGCGAGGGGAGGGGAGTGAGGAGAGAAGGAAGGGGAGGGGTGAGGAGGAGAGGAGTGAGAGATGGAAGGGAGGTCAGGGGAGTGGTGTGAGGGAGGAGGGTAGACGAGGTGGTGGGAGGGGAGGAGGAGGGAAGAAGGATTCAACGTTTGATGAAGCATCTGCGCTGGAAGCAGCTATTAGGCTGGTATGATGCGATGGAGGTGAATTGGTGTGGTGATATGGTGGTGGCCTGATGTGGTGGGATGGGATTGAACCGTTGCTTCCATGGTATGGGAGTGAGTGTGTGTGTGTGTGTGTGTGTGTGTGTGTGTGTGTGTGTGTGTGTGTGTGTGTGTGTGTGTGTGTGTGTGCGTGCGTCTATACTCTGCTTCCTCCTCCCACTTACTGGTGTCTCATTCTTGTGCAATCACCGTTTCCTACTTCATTTATCACACGTCTTCTTTTTGCTAATCTTTGTTCAATCTCCTCCGCATTGCACGTCTTTTTATACGTGCTCCCGTTATCATCACCCTCATCATCCTCGTTATATGAACTTCATAAACAATCGCATGCTCCCTAAGCGACCACAGAAGCTGCTTCCCCATCTCCTAGTACTCGACTTGATAATCCACCCGCCTCTGGGCCATGCCTCGCTCGTTCCCCCTTGGCAGGTGCAAATGGGCGACCATAAGAACGCCTTCCCCATCTACGATTGGGCGAGTCAATCATTCAGCCAACCCAACCCGCATCCATCCCTCCCTTACCCCTTGGCAGGTGCAAATGGGCGACCATAAGAACGCCTTCCCCATCTACGATTGGGCGAGTCAATCATTCAGCCAACCCAACCCGCATCCATCCCTCCCTTACCCCTTGGCAGGTGCAAATGGGCGACCATAAGAACGCCTTCCCCATCTTTGCCAAGGTACCCCGTTCTGTGCTGTCTGGTGCCGTGCGGTGCAGTGCGGTGCTGTGCCGTGCTGTACTGTGCCGTGCTATGCGGTGCTGTGCGGTGTTGTGCGGTGCTCTGCTGTGTCGTGTTGTGCTGTGCTTTCCTTTGCCATGTCATGTCATTCTCCATTTTTCAGAACCATGCCACACACACACGTCATGCCGTGGTTCCTCCTCCTGCATAGAAAATAGATTTGACTTTTGAGTCGACTCAAAAGTCATACCGTGGTTCCTCCTCCTGCATAGAAAATAGATTTGACTTTTGAGTCGACTCAAAAGTCATGCCGTGATTCCTCCTCCTGCATAGAAAATAGATTCGACTTTTGAGTCGACTCAAAAGTCATGCCGTGGTTCCTCCTGCATAGAAAATAGATACGACTTTTGAGTCGACTCAAAAGTCATGCCTCCTCCTGCATAGAAAATAGATTCGACTTTTGAGTCGACTCAAAAGTCATGCCGTGGTTCCTCCTCCTGCATAGATTTTTTTTGAGACGTCTCAAAAATCTACTTTCTACACGTGGTTCCTCTTCCTGCATAGAAAAATATATTCGACCTCGTACCATGTCATCCCATGCCCATCCCATGTCATCCCATGCCCATCCCATGTCATCCCATGCCCATCCCATGTCATCCCATGCCCATCCCATGTCATCCCATACCCATCCCATGTCATCCCACCCCACATGCATCCACTGCACGCATTCACCTCCATCCATCCCCCTAGGGATGAGCAAGTGGCGAACACGAACGTGTTCGTGTTCGCCCCTACACGAACACCTTCGTTTGCCGAACCGAACACTGTTCGGTTCGGTGAACACTTTGAGCAAAAAATGGTGTTCGCCGTTCGCATGTGAAGGCGTGTTCGGGCGAACCTCGAACACTGTTCGTGTTCGTCGCGGGCAAATTGCAGCAGCGGCCCGAACACGAACGTGTTCGGGCGAACATCGAACACTGTTCGGCGAACATTTTAAGCCAAAAAAAAATACCTGTTCGGTTCGCCTCGAACGTGTTCGAGGCGAACCGAACAGGTGTTCGTTTTTTTGCTCAACCCTACATCCCCCACTCCCATCCTCCTCTCTTCTACTCACTCGTTTCCCCTTCCCTGCCCCAATCATGCTTCTCTCATCACGCTCCCCTCTTCCCCTCTCCTCTCATCAACCCCCTCACACACCTCACGCCCCTCCCTCTCGCATGCCTCTGCAGGAGAGTGGAACACAGGAGACAATGGTGCTGCCCCCTCTCGCAATCCTCACCTCCCCCCTCCATCACGCCTTCCCTCTGCCATCCCTGTCCCCTTCACCCCCCTCCCTCCCTCTCACACTGCAGTTGCAGGAGAGTGGAGCGCAAGAGACGGTGGTGCTGCTGGCGTGGCGTGGCATGGCACACGCGTTTGCAGAGCACTATGAGGAAGCTCTCAGCGACTTCAACAAGGTGTGCGTGTGTGTGTGTGCGTGTGTGTGTGTGTCTGTGTGTGTGTGTGTGGGTGGGATGGGAGAAGGGGGGGAGGTGGGTTTGGGGGGGGGATGGGGGGAGAGGGGGAAGCATGCCTTTGCAGAGCAGTATGAGGAAGCTCTCAGCGACTTCAACAAGGTGTGCGTGTGTGTGTGTGCGTGTGTGTGTGTGTCTGTGTGTGTGTGTGGGTGGGATGAGAGAAGGGGGGGAGGTGGGTTTGGGGGGGGGGATGGGGGGAGAGGGGGAAGCATGCCTTTGCAGAGCAGTATGAGGAAGCTCTCAGCGACTTCAACAAGGTGTGCATGTGTGTGTTCAGGGCTGTCTTCTGCTGCTGAATCCTCTAGTGTCATGTCAAGTCGACTCAGGAATGATACATGCCTTTGCAGAGAACTATGACGAAAACCCTCAGTTACTCCAGCAAGGACTGTGAGAAGGGTGAGGGGGGGGGACGGAGGGGAGGAGGGGGGTGCGGGGACTGTCTGTTGATGCTGGACTCTTCACTTGACTCTGGAATTGCGCTTGCCTTTACAGAGCAGTATGCTGAGGAACACAGCGAATGAAACACGGTGTGTGTGTGGTGCTGCTGGGTGATTTCAATGGACTTTCAAACTCTTTCCAACCCCTTCGTTTCATTCACCCCTTTCCCCAGCCCCCCTTTCTTCCATTCTTCTGCAACTCCCATATGCTCTAGAGCAGGCTTCAAACGCAGGACAGATTCTGAGGCAGCAAACATCGGTGCTTGGAAAGACCTTGGGTTGATGTTTATGGACACAGACCACACTCTTTAACCTCTTCCTTTTCTCCCCCCCCCCCCACCACCCCCCATAGGCTCTAGAGCAGGCTCCCAAGGCAGGGCAGATTCTAAGGCAAAGAGTGTCGGTGCTTGGGATCACCATGGGGTGATTCCAACTCACTCAAACCCCTTTCAGCCCTTTCATTTCCTCCATCCACTCCCGACCCCCAACAGGCTCTAGAGCAGGCTCCCAAGGCAGGGCAGATTCTGAGGCAACGAGCGTCGGTGCTTGGGATCTTGGGGCGACACAAGGAGGTATGTGTGTGGTGGGCCGACACAAGGAGGTATGTGTGTGGTGGGGCGTGTATATGTGCTGAAGCCTGGTTCTCGTGCAGGTAACTTCCAACACACCAGAACCGGAGGGATTTGTAGGCCAGCTATATTGGAGTGACTTTTGAGAATTCTCAGAAGTCACAAGGAGGTATGTGTGTGGTGGGGCGTGTATATGTGCTGAAGCCTGGTTCTCGTGCAGGTAACTTCCAACACACCAGAACCGGAGGGATTTGTAGGCCAGCTATATTGGAGTGACTTTTGAGAATTCTCCGAAGTCACAAGGAGGTATGTGTGTGGTGGGGCGTGTATATGTGCTGAAGCCTGGTTCTCGTGCAGGTAACTTCCAACACACCAGAACCGGAGGGATTTGTAGGCCAGCTATATTGGAGTGACTTTTGAGAATTCTCAGAAGTCACAAGGAGGTATGTGTGTGGTGGGGCGTGTATATGTGCTGAAGCCTGGTTCTCGTGCGTTGTAATTGCCGTGTATGTGGCCGGGAGATACAATTTTTTTTCGTGTGTTCAATGCAAGGAACAAACAACTCTTCTACCTTGCATTAGAGGTATAAGTTATCAACTACAAGTTACAACCCCACCCACCCCACATTCTTTTCTCTCGTGGCCATATGCACACTCACCATTCTGCGCGCCATTGCTGATTGAGTTTTGACTATTCTTCAACCACCCAACCCCCAATCCTGCAGGCCATCACTGATTGGACGGCTGTGATTGAAATGGATCCGAATGATGCAGCAGCCAGACAGGAACGAGGTGAGAACTAAGTTGCAATATACGATTATAGCGTATATACGCTTATCGTATATACGCTAGCGTATGCACGCTATCCGCTTGGGGGTCGACTTTGGAATACGCTTTTCCGGGCAGGGAAAAAACTTTCCCGGGCAGGGCAAAAAAAACCACTTGGGGATGTTTGGGGGGGGGGGGGGGGAGGGGTGAGGCATTTTGGGGGTTTTGCAACACAGTTTTTTTTTCCTCATAATAAGATTACAACACCATACATACACACACACATGTCACTAATACTCTCCTGCCACCCTAGTACTAAGCATACTCGTCCTCCAGGACGTCATCGTCGCCTTCCTCCTCCTCCACCTCCGTCTCATCCAACCCGTTGTACCCCTCGGGAATAGGAGGCTCGTCCCCAATCCCTGGCACAACCTTCGGCATTACATCTGCGCGCGAGTGCCAGTTGCGCACAACATTCCAGTTGTGCGCAACAAAAACCAGGTCCTGGCACTTTGCAGATCCGAGGCGGTTCCGGCGGGCTGTGTGGACAGCATCCCAAGTTCCCCACCCACGCTCACAAGGGGATGCCGATACAGGCTGAGATAGCACCCTCACGGCGAAGCGCATCAGGTGAGGTGCATCTGTGCCGTTCCACTGCCACCACTTCACCATGCTGTACTTACCCGCCTTCACCTTCTCCCTTTGTGCAAGCGCCTCCGGCATCCCAAAACTGCCTTTCATGTCCAAGAAAGCCCTCAGCCCGTCACCCAAGGCAAGCAAGTAATCTGGACCCTCATCCCTCCCCTTCCCGTCATTGCCGATGAGGAACTCCACGTGCTGGTTGAGTAACGCCTTGAAAACCCGGGTGCATTCGGCGTCGCTGCCAAAGATATCCTCCTCCTGGTTGGCGGGGTTGAGGATTCGGCCAGCAACGTGCATGGCGCAGGCGAGGTTGTTATCCCAGCGGTCCTTGATGATGCTGCGGATCTTTTCCTTGTCCGCGCTACTCAGCTGCTGCTCATCCTCGTCCAGATGTTGTTGACATCCTCGGTAAGCTGCAGCATTACATCGTAGAGCCGGCCCATCATCCCATTGGCATTTGCGTCAATCTGCCGCATCGCCTTGTAGGACAGTTGCATCAACTTGCAGAAGAATTCTGCCGTCCGCCACCATGCGTCATCGAGGACCCGTGCAGCAAAGGCCTCGGCAGTTTCCTTCCGCGACCCCGAGGCCCACTCCTTCCACCTGTCGGAAAGCACCATCGCGTTGAGGGTGCTACGCAACTGACAAAGGCGGGACACAGCAATGTATTGTGTCCCGAACCGTGTTCCTGCTGGCTTCAGCGGCTGCAGCACCTTCCCCTCCACCAACTCCTTGGTCCTCAGGTAAGCGCGCGTCCAATGATGGTTGCGAACGAACGAACTCATCTCCCCAGTCCGATCCACCACCCCTTTTGCCCACCCCATCTTTCCCACGTCCTCCAGGAGGAGATCCATCACATGCGTGGCACAAGGGACCTGCTGAATGTGGGGCCACTTGGCAATCAGCTCCTGGACAGCCACGGCATAGTTCGACCCCCCATCCATACAAAACGCGACGACATTTTCTGGTCCTACCTCCTCCACCACCGGCTGCAGAATTCCCGCTATGTATCCCCCCGTCTTCCGCTCCATACTGCAGTCGATCGCCTCCCTGAAGACGGCGCCAGAGTCGTTGATCAGAAGCACGTTCGCTTGCGCCCTCCCACATTTGTCCGTCATCATGCCGGACGCAATTGTTACCCCCGTCTTCTTCCAGCTCGATTTAATCCCCACCAGCCCCTGCTCAATCCCTTTGCGGACAGCGACCAGTCCAGCCCCGCCAATGAAAGTCCTCCTGGGGGGGACGTAGCCGTTGCCGGCGCGGTTGACGAGCAGCATGGCGTTGATGAACAGCGGGTGGTCCACATGGTGACCTCCGGGATTCTGCAGGCCGCAAACATCAGCGCAAGGCCCTCGTGAGCATCCCGCTTAGCCGCAGAGGCATCTCCCTCCAAGTAGTCGGTTATGCGCCGCTTCCCTCCGCCAGCCTGTACTGCCGCAACTGCAGCAGATGTTGCTCGGCGCTTTTCCTCGATCGCGGCAGCCATCTTTTCGTATTTGGTGCGCATCTCGTTGCGTACGTCTTGCGGTGCCTCTTTGCAAAGCGTCACCTCGCGACGCTTCATTCCCTTCCACGAGCTCAGGTGCTGCGCGCAACGAATGGCTGCACCGGTGAAAAAATTGAAGCAGTACTTACACTCGTACTGCTGTGCTTTGCCTTCTTCCCGCACAATGAGGCTGAAATGTTTGAAGACAGCGTGTTCCGGCATGCCAGGAAGGTAATCCCTACCCTCAGGTCGAACAATCCGAGAACTCTGCACTGTCTGAACGGATGGCGGTGTGCATGGCGGGCTAGACATTACGAAAGAGACGGGGAACTGATGAATTGCGTAGTTGCTTGCAACCCACTAAGTAGCACAACGAGAGAAGGGAACATTGGGACATTTGGTTGGAGTGAGTAGATGGGAGGGGATTCAATGCGGTAACAAACAGAGCGCACAAAGTGTGTACGTGAAAACGCGACTTGACAAATTGACACAACCAATCTCGACTACGTGGGTTGAACCCACGTCCACGATTGGACAAGTCACGTTCGTGCAATTCGCCTTCGGCAAAACGCACGTCGTGAAATTCCGCATTTTTCCGTATGTTCATTTTTTTTTCCGCCCGGGCTGCCCCAAAACCAATTTGCCGAGCGTATAGCGGATTCGCTTGCGTATAGCGTGTTGCGTGTATACGCAAGCGGATATCCGCTAAACGCAAACAGGCCTGAGCGTTTATTGCAACTTAGGGTGAGAACAGGGTACGGAGAGAGAGGTGAGCATAGGGACGTGACACTAGAGAGTTTACCGATGCCAAGGCGACAGTAGACATTAAAGCGTCTCTCCAGGGGGTTGGCGATTGAATCGTGTATTTCAACCCAACCTGAAAGAATCTCATGCTTTCTTCTGTTTTCACCCTCTTTCCCTGCCCCCTCTTTCCCCGCCCCTCCTTCCCCCGCCCCTTCCTCCCTCGCCCTCTCCCTCTCCCCCCACGCAGGAGCGTCGTATGTGAACGAACGCCAACGCCCCTGCGAGTCTAGTTTTGAGGCGCCTCAAAACGAACGCCAACGCCTCTGCGAGTGCGCTGCCAGACCTTATGCGGCCAGGTTGGGTTGGCATAGCGTAGCATGAATGCCAAACTAACTCATACCTTGCTGACCTTCCTTCTGCTCTCACCCAGCCTCCTTCCCCCTTTCTCTGCAGGAACCGCATACGTGAACGCCAAAGCCTATGAGAGAGGACTGCCAGACTCTATGCTACCGGGTTGAGTCAGCATACCGAGAATGCCGACCCAACCCATACCATGCTATGCTAGCCTAGTAACTTCCCTTCCATTCCCACCCCTTCCGCCGCTCCTCCTCTCGCAGGAGCGGCATATGTGAGCGCCAATGCCTATGCGAGTGCGCTGCCTGACCTCTATGCTGCCAGGTTGGGTCAACATACCAAGAAGAGAATGTGCCCCATAATAACCTCCTTTCTGCTCTTATCCCCCTTCTTCCCCTCCCCCACAAACCCGTAGCGGCATACGTGAATGCCAACGCCTATTCAAACGCGCTGCCGGATGTCTATGCTGCCTGCCAGGCAGGTTGGGTTGGCATACAAAGAATGCGCTCGATAATAACCTCCTTTCTGCTCTTATCCCCTTTCTTCCCCTCCCCCACAAACCAGTAGCGGCATGCGTGAATGCCAACGCCTATTCAAACGCGCTGCCGGATGTCTATGCTGCCTGCCAGGCAGGTTGGGTTGGCATACAAAGAATGCGCTCGATAATAACCTCCTTTCTGCTCTTATCCCCCTTCTTCCCCTCCCCCACAAACCCGTAGCGGCATACGTGAATGCCAACGCCTATTCAAACGCGCTGCCGGATGTCTATGCTGCCTGCCAGGCAGGTTGGGTTGGCATACAAAGAATGCGCTCGATAATAACCTCCTTTCTGCTCTTATCCCCTTTCTTCCCCTCCCCCACAAACCAGTAGCGGCATGCGTGAATGCCAACGCCTATTCAAACGCGCTGCCGGATGTCTATGCTGCCTGCCAGGCAGGTTGGGTTGGCATACAAAGAATGCGCTCGATAATAACCTCCTTTCCGCTCTTATCCGCTTTCTTCCCCTCCCCCACAAACCAGTAGCGGCATGCGTGAATGCCAACGCCTATTCAAACGCGCTGCCGGATGTCTATGCTGCCTGCCAGGCAGGTTGGGTTGGCATACAAAGAATGTGCTCGATAATAACCTCCTTTCTGCTCTTATCCCCTTTCTTCCCCTCCCCCACAAACCAGTAGCGGCATGCGTGAATGCCAACGCCTATTCAGACGCGCTGCCGGATGTCTATGCTGCCTGCCAGGCAGGTTGGGTTGGCATACAAAGAATGCGCCCTATAATAACCTCCTTTCTGCTCTTATCCCCCTTCTTCCCCTCCCCCACAAACCAGTAGCGGCATACGTGAATGCCAACGCCTATTCAAACGCGCTGCCGGATGTCTATGCTGCCTGCCAGGCAGGTTGGGCTGGCATACAAAGAATGCGCTCGATAATAACCTCCTTTCTGCTCTTATCCCCTTTCTTCCCCTCCCCCACAAACCAGTAGCGGCATGCGTGAATGCCAACGCCTATTCAAACGTGCTGCCGGATGTCTATGCTGCCTGCCAGGCAGGTTGGGTTGGCATACAAAGAATGCGCTCGATAATAACCTCCTTCCTGCTCTTATCCCCTTTCTTCCCCTCCCCCACAAACCGGTAGCGGCATGCGTGAATGCCAACGCCTATTCAAACGCGCTGCCGGATGTCTATGCTGCCTGCCAGGCAGGTTGGGTTGGCATACAAAGAATGCGCTCGATAATAACCTCCTTTCTGCTCTTATCCCCTTTCTTCCCCTCCCCCACAAACCGGTAGCGGCATGCGTGAATGCCAACGCCTATTCAAACGCGCTGCCGGATGTCTATGCTGCCTGCCAGGCAGGTTGGGTTGGCATACAAAGAATGCGCCCTATAATAACCTCCTTTCTGACCTCTTCCCCTCCCCCACCAACCAGGAGCGGCATACATGAATGCCAATGCCTATGCGAGCACACTGCCTGATCTCTATGCTGCCAGGTTGGGTCAACATACCAAGTATGCCCACCCAACCTATCCCATGTTAACCTCCTGTCTCCACCCTTGTCCCCCCCCACCAACCAGGAGCGGCATCCGTGAACGCCAACGCCTATTCAAGCACGCTGCCTGGCCTCTACGCTGCCTGCCAGGCACGTTGGGTAGGCATACTAAGGATGCGCCCTATAATAACCGCCTTTCTGTTCTGACCTCTTCCCCTCCCCCACCAACCAGGAGCGGCATATGTGAACGCCAACGCCTATTCAAGCGCGCTGCCGGACCTCTATGCTGCCAGGGCCATGGCTCCGCAGCTCTTCAAGCCGCACCTCTTCCTCGTAAGTCCTATTGGGGCTCCTCAAAGTCGTCTCTCTACCTGCGGTTTTTTAGGCGCCTCAACAGGGTCGTGGTCCCCCCCCCCCCCCCCCAGCTCTTCCAAACCCCATCTTTTCCTCCTAAGCTTTATATGGCAAGGGAGAAGCCTAAACCCAAACCTTCAAGCCCAAACCCCCGAAAAGCTGAGCATTTGGCTCTGCAAACCCCATATGACAACAAGGGAGCCTCAGCCTGAACCCAAACCTGAAAACCCTGAACCATGAATAACTAAGCCCTCGGCTCTTCAAGCCGCACCTCTTCCTCAAAATTTTATCCTTTGAATTGCCTAGTCCCTCATCTCCTCCTGTATGCTCAGCTCATTGTCAAAGACAAGCCTTCAAACTTCTCTCGTGTCCCTTCCCCTTGCCTCCAGAATCTGGCACTGACAGCAACAGGGGCGCAGTTTGAAGCAGTGACGAGCTACGAGACAGCCATGGCAATAAATCCAGAATGAAAGGGGTGCAGCAGCCCCCCATAACAAATTACCCATGTCTCATCTCTCCGCTCTCAACTCCCCCGCATCCCTTCTCCTTCCCCTTGCCTCCAGGGCTTGGCGCTGACAGCAACAGGGGCACCGTTTGAAGCAGTGAAGAGCTATGAGACAGCAATGGCCATGAATCCAGATGTAAAGGAGGGGTGGACGAACTGGGGGCAGACAATGAAGGAGATCGCCATGTTCAACGAGTCAGAGAGATGCTATAAACGCGCCCTTGATGTGGATAAGGGGTGAGTGGTTGGAGCAGCGTATATGGGGGATACATGAGTTGGGGGGTGCTGCATGGGAATGATGAGGGGTGGACGAACTGGGGGCAGACAATGAAGGAAATCGCCATGTTCAACGAGTCGGAGCGATGCTATAAGCGCGCTCTGGGGGTGGATAGTGGGTGAGTGAGTGGACTGTGGAGCAGCTTATATGGGGGACAATCGGGATGGGCTAACTCGGGACATGTGCATATCCTACATTTGTGGCCCTTATAATACCCATATCTGATGCGCTGTAATATTTTAACCAAAATCGTTCCCCATCCCATTCCCCATATGCCCCCATGCCACACTCCCCGTGCCTGCCCATCACTACAGCTTCCTGCTGGCGTACAAGCTGTGGGCGAAGCTGAGGCACACCGTGGGCGACCACAGGTGAGCGAGGCGGCACGCAGACAGACAGACAGGTAGCTGCTATGGGCACTGGCAAGTGCCTGGCACGTGCGTGGCATGTGCATGGATTGGGTTGAGAGGAGAACCATACACTTGCTGCTGGCGTACAAGCTCTGCGACCACTGGTGAGTTTCGGGTTTTGCGACGCCTCAACCTCTGAGGCACGCCGTGGGCGACCACAGGTGAGCGAGGCGGCACGCAGACAGACAGACAGACAGGTAGCGATGGCCAGGCCACTGCTATGAGACGTCTCAAAGGCGTTTCGGGTTTTGCGACGCCTCAACCTCTGAGGCACGCCGTGGGCGTCCATAGGTGAGTGAGGGACGACGGCAGGCAGACAGGTGGTGATGGGCACTGGCATGGCATGGCATGGCATGGCATGGCACGGCATGGCACGGCACGGCATGGCACGGAATGGCATGTGCATGAATCCTTGAGCAGAGGCTTAACTGTCCCATCCCATCCGTAATAAATCTGAATTGTGTCCCTCTTGCTGTCCCTAGGGTTCCGTAACTGCAATATTAAGTAGTTTCCCTTCCCCATTTCCTTGCTCCCACCGCGACAGCGGGGTGATTCAGCTGCTGCAGGAGGGGCTGAAACAATGACCTTCCTGAAAGTGTTTCCTCCTCTCTTCCTGTCCCCTTCAGAGGGGTGATTCAGCTGCTGCAGTAGGGGCTGAAACATCACCCAAGCAATGTGGAGCTACACTTGTATTGTGACTACCACCACCCACCCACCACCATGCATCTTGTCTCTCTCTTCCTCTCCCACCACGGCAGGGGGGTGATCCGCCTGCTGCAGGAGGGGCTGAAACACCACCCAAACAACGTGGAGTTGCGATACTTTGAGGCCTCCTGCTTCCATGCCACGGGGGATTTTTCCCAGGCTGTGAGTTGACCTGCGTTGACTTTCGTTGACTGCAGTCGACGCCTCCAAGTCTCCTACTTTGATTTGAGGCCTCCTGCATCCATGCCATGCGGGTCTTCTCACAGGCCATGAGTTGACTCGCGTTGACTTTCGTTGACTATCATCCTCCCCCCTGCTCAGGTGAGGCTCTACGACAGCATTCTCTTTCTGCAACCGTCTGGAGATTAGAGGTTTCAGCACCCCGCCTTCCCTTCGAATCAAAACAACAATCCTCTCACCTCCCTACCAATCGGCCAATCACCCCTCACCCACCCCCCCCCCCCCCCCCCCCCCCCCCCCCCTTTCTTCCACCCTTTAGGTGAGGCTCTACGACAGCATTCTCTCGCTGCAAACGTCTGGAGATGAGCGGTTCCAGTACCTCGCTTTCTACCAGGTGCATTGAGAAGGTTCCTGGTTGCTTCCAGGTGGCTTCCACGCTGTCTACCAATATTGGAAATGTTGATGTTTGTTAACGTTTTCTTTCTTTATTTTTGCACAAGCTCGTGCCATTCTTCAAGTACTTGCATCGCACCAAAAGCTCCTTGTATCTCCATGCCCAAAGAGGCGTGGCCTCAAAGTCTCATCATAGCAGCATATATGGCAGTGAACGTGAATTCATCCTACTCTTACACCCGCTGTCCTCTCTTCCCCCCCATCCCACCCCTGTCATCCCCATTACTACAGCGTGAGATAGCGGCATACATGGCAGTCAACGTGAACGCGCCCTTCTCTCACTTCAGCCTTGATGACCATTTCAACCGCGTCTTCAAGGCAAGATCCGAGTCTTCCCACCTGCCGTATGTGCACGGCACACGATGTATGCATGCACCTCTCCCTCACTCGCGCATCCCTCACTTGCCCTTCTCTCACTTCAGCCTGGACGACCACTTCAATCGCGTCTTCAAGGCAAGATTTGTGTCTTCCCACCTGCCAATCATCATGTGCACAGCACACTACGCATGCACCTCTCACTCACTCGCCCCTCCCTCACTCTCCCGTCTTCAAGGCAAGCTTGCGTTTTCTTGTCAAGTGAAATTCATGTCTCTTGTTCTCCCATTGCCAGGCAAGGCAATTTCTCCAGTGCCCATTCTTCAATTGCAGTCAATACATTGAAGTTCCCTCTTCCCTCCTTCCCCTCCGCCTCCACCTTGAAACAGGAAGGTTGGGCTAATGCACAGTTTTGGGTGCACCTACCCTTCAAGGAATACGAGATGCTTCCCGTGTCCTGTGTCCCTACAGGACATTCAAGCCGGGTTTCTGTGCTCTCCATGCTTCCCTCACTACCCACTCACTGCACATATCCCATCTCCCACCCACCACAGGAGGGCTGGGCCAACGCACAGTTCCCAGGGCACCTACCGTCCAGGGGCTATCAGATGCAGGACATTCAAGCAGTGTTCCTGTGCTCCCCATGCTTCCTCACTACCCACTCACCCACTGCACCCATCCCCTTCCCCACCCCGTCTCTTCAGGAGGGCTGGGCGAATGCGCAGTTTCCAAGGCACCTACCCTCCAGAGGGTATCAGATGCAGGACATTCAGGCAGTGTTCCTGTGCTCCCCATGCTTCCTCACTACCCACCCACCCACTGCACCCATCCCCTTCCCCACCCCGTCTCTTCAGGAGGGCTGGGCGAATGCACAGTTTCCAGGGCACCTACCCTCCAGAGGGTATCAGATGCAGGACATTCAGGCAGTGTTCCTGTGCTCCCCATGCTTCCTCACTACCCACCCACCCACTGCACCCATCCCCTTCCCCACCCCGTCTCTTCAGGAGGGCTGGGCGAATGCACAGTTTCCAGGGCACCTACCCTCCAGAGGGTATCAGATGCAGGACATTCAGGCAGTGTTCCGCGTGCGGCGGCAGCAGCACCGGCGCAAGGGGGAGAAGCGCTTCGAGGCGAACCGAGCGGCGCTGCTAAAGCAGGCTGATGAGATTGGGCGGCTGGTTCAGTACAACACCACGGGGTTCCTTGGTAACATGCGGCAGGTAAGCAAGTGCTACTGCTGTCACGAGTCCTTAGAGAGAGTGCTGCTGCTGCTGCTGCTGTTGCAGACTGATGCGATTGGGCGGCTGGTTCAATACAACACCACAGGGTTCCTTGGTAACATGCGTTAGGTGTGCGGGTGCTATTGCTACTGTAAGTCCTTAGAGAGAGGGTTGCTGCTGCTGCTGCTGCAGGCTGATGCGCTTGGCCGGCTCGTTCAGTCAACACCACGGGGGGTTCCTTGGTAACATGCGGCAGGCGAGGCCTTGATAGCTGTTATCTGCTAACTTGAGTGCTTAGGTCAGAGAAAGAGGTGCCGCTGCTGTCGGAGATTCATCCTCTGTTGCTTCCCGTGGCTTGCCTTCTCCTTCCCGGACTCACCCTCACTCCCTTCTTCTGAGCTCTGTTCCTGTGATACCTTACCTGCTCTGCCTCAGCCACTACCTTGAGAGATTCTGCCTCCCCCACGTATGGCTGCCCACAGTGGCTTAGTCGCCTAAGCTGGAGTTAGCTATCAAACGGCAACCTATATCCACTATTACGAGCAAACAAACAAGAGAACGAACTAAGCAGTGAGTTTCTAGCCTATTTGAGTCTCTACCCCGTGCCGTGCAGTTTCCCGTAAGTCACATTGGGCTCCGCCCGCTAGGCTTCAGATTGGCCCTTCGGATTGCCCAGGGCTCGCCCTTGAATTTGTCCCACCCTGCGCCTCGCAAGTCCCTTGGTCACCACTTCGCGTCACTACCCACGCACCAAACTCACCTTCTACAGTACTTCGATTAACCCTACTACACCTACACTAGCGAGTAACAGAATATATTGCAAACAACAATCTATTCGGTGACATGCTGTTGCTGCAGGCTGATGCGATTGGGCGGCTGGTTCAGTGCAACACCTCGAGGCTCCATCACCCTTCCCATCTCCTTTCCTTACTCTCCGTCCCATCCTTCGCTCTTTCGCCATCCACCCTCCTCCCGCTCTGTGCAGCAACGAGCAGCAGGCCTGACTGGCGTTAGACAGTGAGCGGCGTGAGGAAGGCGTGGCGAGGGGATGGGGAGGGGCTTCGTGCGTTGTAACGTCTGGCAATGTCTCAAGAATCCACCCACCCTACCCTCTTTCTCTCCCACTCCCCAGCAACGAGCAGCAGGGCTGGCTGCTCTGGACATCATGCAGACAGTGCGAAAGGCGTGGAGGGATTGGATGAAGAGCGGGCAGGTGGACAGAAGCAGCAGTGCGGAGGAGGTGGAGGAGGGGGTGGGGGTGGGGTGGAGGGACGTGTACGGCATGGGAGTGAGATGGCGCCAGATTGCCGAACCTAACGACCCCATCGTGTGGATCGACGGCCTCACGTGAGTTGCACGTGGGGCTCTTTGATTTGATGTGTTACCTGGTAACCACGACCCCATCGTGTGGATCGATGGCCTCACGTGAGTCGCACGTGGGGCTCTGAATTGGTTACGTTGTAATCACAACTGTCTGGCACTGGTTTGAGCTATTCCATATCCACAACCACAACTGCTGTTACCATTCTCGGTCAGTCTCCTCCACCAGCTTTTCTTTCCACTCTGGAATGCCCGCTTGCTCAAATGCACAAGACATGGCACCGGCTCACTTTTTCTAGGTTCTCAAAAGTGGCATCCACTCACTCATTCTTTAATCTCTTCAAAATCAGTTCCAATGTTCAGCTCAGACGTCTACACTCGCTCTCGTAACTGGCTCGGATTTTCCTCCTTACTCCGACTCACTCTTTTTCCGTCCCTGCTTTGGCAGGCGGGAAGCATTCGAAACCGGGTTTGGTTCGGTCACGCCGATGGTGTCCGGGCAGACTCGAAACATTCGCTACTCCATGAATGCTGACCGGTGAGATCCGTTATCACCTGACCAAATCATTTTCTTTAAGCGTTTAGCTCATGATGTGATGAGTGGTGTTATGGATCGAGGTCGGCTGTTCACCCTCCTTTCAATCTCGAATCCGTCTTATATCACCAGCAGTACGTTCAAGATCGTACGGCAGGCGATGCTACATCACGGCAAGGTGCATGAAGAAGTCTTCCTTTTAATTCCCTCACCGCCCTTCCTCTCAACCCACCCACCAGTGCGTTCAAGATCGTACGGCAGGAGATGCTGCATCACGGCAAGGTGTACGGCGAGCGCGACGAGGAGATCCCGCTCAGCCAAGCGGATCTGAAAAAGGTGTGTGGTGCTTGAGTGTGTTGGGGGGGAGGAGGGGGGGGGGTCGTGTGTGTGTGCATTGATTTGAGTCGAATCAAGATACGCAAGGTGTACGGCCAGCGGCGAGGAGATTCCCCTCAGTCAAGAGGCTCTGGAGAAGGTGAGTGCACGTATGTGTGTGAGGGGGGGGGATGTCGTGTAGGTGGGTGGGTCGGTAGGTGTAAGTTCTTTGCTGTGTTCTGAGATGTCTCAGGATAATCAAGGTGTACGGCCAGCGGCGACGAGATTCCGCTCAGTCAAGAGGCTCTCGAGAAGGTGAGTAGTTGTGCGCATCACATCACATGTGCCTTCCAACCACCGCATCTTTCGCGGTTCATGTTGAGTCAACTCAAAGCATACGTCTGCACCTGTTTCGTTTTTCCACCCTCTCCTCCCTCCTTTCATGTGACAAGATGCAAGCATCTCCTCAATGGCTGAAATTGGTTGAAATTGACTGAAATCGATTGAAATTGATTGAAATTGGTTGAAATCGGTTGAAATTGATTGAAATTGACTGAAATCGATCGAAATGGATCGAAATGGATCGGAATCGATCGATATCTAATGAAATTGACTGAAATTGTGTTGAAATCGATTGAAATTGACTGAAATCGATTGATGGCCATCAACCTATCAATCAGAATGACCCTTGACGTGACACATGTCTTCCATCCCCGTCCCTCCTGCCACGTCAGGTGGACCAGGCAACCAATTTTAACCAGCTGTGGGACGTCGTGCAGAAAGGATTCTTCGTCTTCACCCCGTGCAAGAGCACCGCCTTCCCTGAGTAAGCCCTGCCTTCCCCAAGTAAGCCTGCCTTCTCCAAGTAAGCCCTGCCTTCCCCAAGTAAGCCCTGCCTTTTCCCCAAGTAAGCCCTGCCTTTCCCCAATCACACCTTCATGCCTCTCTCCCTCTGTCTCCTCCTTCTGTGTTGGGCTGGACCCTCCTTCTTTGTTGGGCTGACCCTCCTTCTGTGTTGGGCTGACCCTCCTTCTGTGTTGGGCTGACCCTCCTTCTGTGTTGGGCTGACCCTCCTTCTGTGTTGGGCTGACCCTCCTTCTGTGTTGGGCTGACCCTCCTTCTGTGTTGGGCTGACCCTCCTTCTGTGTTGGGCTGACCCTCCTTCTGTGTTGGGCTGACCCTCCTTCTGTGTTGGGCTGACCCTCCTTCTGTGTTGGGCTGACCCTCCTTCTGTGTTGGGCTGACCCTCCTTCTGTGTTGGGCTGACCCTCCTTCTGTGTTGGGCTGACCCTCCTTCTGTGTTGGGCTGACCCTCCTTCTGTGTTGGGCTGACCCTCCTTCTGTGTTGGGCTGACCCTCCTTCTGTGTTGGGCTGACCCTCCTTCTGTGTTGGGCTGACCCTCCTTCTGTGTTGGGCTGACCCTCCTTCTGTGTTGGGCTGACCCTCCTTCTGTGTTGGGCTGACCCTCCTTCTGTGTTGGGCTGACCCTCCTTCTGTGTTGGGCTGACCCTCCTTCTGTGTTGGGCTGACCCTCCTTCTGTGTTGGGCTGACCCTCCTTCTGTGTTGGGCTGACCCTCCTTCTGTGTTGGGCTGACCCTCCTTCTGTGTTGGGCTGACCCTCCTTCTGTGTTGGGCTGACCCTCCTTCTGTGTTGGGCTGACCCTCCTTCTGTGTTGGGCTGACCCTCCTTCTGTGTTGGGCTGACCCTCCTTCTGTGTTGGGCTGACCCTCCTTCTGTGTTGGGCTGACCCTCCTTCTGTGTTGGGCTGACCCTCCTTCTGTGTTGGGCTGACCCTCCTTCTGTGTTGGGCTGACCCTCCTTCTGTGTTGGGCTGACCCTCCTTCTGTGTTGGGCTGACCCTCCTTCTGTGTTGGGCTGACCCTCCTTCTGTGTTGGGCTGACCCTCCTTCTGTGTTGGGCTGACCCTCCTTCTGTGTTGGGCTGACCCTCCTTCTGTGTTGGGCTGACCCTCCTTCTGTGTTGGGCTGACCCTCCTTCTGTGTTGGGCTGACCCTCCTTCTGTGTTGGGCTGACCCTCCTTCTGTGTTGGGCTGACCCTCCTTCTGTGTTGGGCTGACCCTCCTTCTGTGTTGGGCTGACCCTCCTTCTGTGTTGGGCTGACCCTCCTTCTGTGTTGGGCTGACCCTCCTTCTGTGTTGGGCTGACCCTCCTTCTGTGTTGGGCTGACCCTCCTTCTGTGTTGGGCTGACCCTCCTTCTGTGTTGGGCTGACCCTCCTTCTGTGTTGGGCTGACCCTCCTTCTGTGTTGGGCTGACCCTCCTTCTGTGTTGGGCTG